CCAGGTGCAGGGTCTGCTAGCTGGGTGCTGGCAGGCTTGCACCTGGCACGGGCACCGTAGCCAGCCCGTGCCCCTTTAAGGGGTCCGGGGCCGGGAGGGGGGCAATAGAGTTTCCCTGGTGTTGGCCAGAGTGGCCACCAGGGAAACCTGGGGAGGGCTAGCCTCCCACTAGTTCGAATTAAGGGGCTACACACCCCTTAATTCGAACTAGTAAGTTCGAACTAGGCTTAATCCTCGTAAAATGAGGTTTTCCTAGTTCGAACTAAGCGCTCCGCTAGTTCGATTCAAATTCGAACTAGCGGAGCGCTAGCGTAGCGGCTATGAATGTTAGTTCGAACTAACGTCCATTAGTTCGAACTAACATTGTAGTGTAGACATACCCTGATGTAGTAAGCCCAGAGATGCCAGGGCTATGAACTGCCAAGCCTAGAAGTGTTAAGCCATGGAACAAATTGTCAAACCTGTTGTTGCGTTCAGATGTGTTATTCAGTATCTTGATGAGATCAGCGTTTGGATGAGAGCAGACTGGTTGCAACTCCATCTAGACAAGACTGAGGTAGTGCAGATATTTTGGGCAAACTAACTGGAAGTGCTTAATCATTATGCATGGCTAGAAGGATGCAGATTTTTTTTATGTTGATTTCACTATAGTGATCAATGCTTTTGTCATCTTGGGATTAGATTCTTCAGTGTGCTTTACATGAGACTACTCTTTAAGTTCATTTGGAAACTAGGGATGTTAGCAAGTAGTTGAGTTGCATATTGACTACTCACTTACCTCACCCACTGCCGCCCTAGCTGCTTCTCTATGAGAGGCAATGGGGGAGGGGGAACAGGAGCTGGTGCTCAGGGGAGCCAGTTTAAAAGGTCCAGCACTGTCTCTGAGATACCGCTTACCCTTCCCCTCCTCACCCACCCCCCCCTCCCCCGCCTCTGTCAGGGGCTAGAGGAAGCTTGCCATGGGCAGAGGCTGTTCTGGCACCAGCCCCTGTCCATGGGGGGTTCCAGTGGGGAGCTGGGACCCCCCTCCTCCTCGCGGACAGGGACTGCTGCTGTCAAGCAGCCTCTGTTTGCAGTGGCCCAGGCTGGCTGCTCACAGGGGGTGGTGCTGAAGCAGCCTCTGTTTGCTGAGGCCAGCCCTGGCTTCTGTGAACAGGGGCTGTTGGATTCGTGTTGGTACTGGACGCTGCGCCTCTGCCTTTTAAATGTAGTATGAGCCTGGCGGGTGTCTCTCAGAGCCAGCACAAGCCAGGACTGTTTGACTACATGAGCCGGGACACTATCAACTACACGATTAGCCAGGTACCACAATTTAACATCCATATTGGAAACATTAGATGGCATGTAGTGCAGTGACCCACTGTAAAGAGGTGTTTCTCTCAGGGACCACGCTAAACCTGTATTCTGGAATCTTCACTGGCCTCTAGTTTACTTTCACGACAATTCAAGGCAATAATTTTAACCTATAAATTAACCTATAAACCCCTGATTGTGCTCAGTCCCAAATACCTGCGAGATCAGCATTCTCCTTATCTCGTAGAATCATTGGACTGGTAGGGACCTCAAGAGGTCATCTAGTTCAGTCCCCTGCACTCACGACAGGACTAAGTATTATCTAGATTGTCCCTATCGTTTGTGAAATCTGTTTTTAAAAATCTCCAATGATGGCAGTTCTGCAACCTCCTTAAGTAATTTATTCCAGTGCTAAACCACCCTGACAGGAAGTTTTTCCTAATGTCCAACCTAAACTTCTCTTGATTCAATTTAAGCCCATTGCTTCTTGTCCTATCCTCTAAGGTTAAGAAGAATACTTTTTCTGCCTTTTCCTTGTACCAATCTTTTGTGTATTTCATAACACATCAGCTGAGGAGCATGGACAACAGCTCCCCAGATTAACATTGAGAAAGCTGCATGCAGAGGTTTAGATTCTCATTGAAGTATCCTCCTTGCTTCTGTTCACCAAAGCCCAGATTTGATGAGCTTTCAAACTTTGTTCTCCTTACATTTTCTTGTGACAGCAAAGATGTATGGATGAGAGTGGTGGGAGGACTTTTTGGCTTTCATTTGAGTCTGGAGATTTTTGGGATGTCACAATATGTCAGGTGTTGTTACTAAAACTATTGTTGCATTTTTATACAAAATATAACGTGTGCATGTCCATTCTTAACGAGGTGGATGAAGAACCATACTCAATGAATGTAATAATGTGATATTTCTAATTTTTATTTTAGGAGTTACAGTCAGAACATGCAAGACAAGCCTTTGCATTGAAAGACAAAAACAAAACTGGTATGATTACTGGACTGGACTTTAGTGACATCATGGCTACCATTCGTTCACATATGCTCAGCCCTTTTGTGGAAGAAAATCTAGTTTCAGTAAGTGTAAAGAAAATACTGTCTTAAATATAAGTGCTGTTCAACTCCAAGTTTATAATTTAAAGACTATGTGTCGCAGTTCCCCCCTCCCCCGGCTCGACCGAATTGCCAATCACACCACAAAACAAACCAAAGCCGGGGAGGCCTTGGGGTTAAAGTGCCAGCTGCCGCCGGCCAGGTGGGGTCCGGGCCCTCCCTCGCTCCCGAACCCCGGCCCAGGGCCCTAACACTAGGAGCTGTAACTCCCAGTGGAAGCAGGTGGGGCTTGCCCCTAAACTCGCCTGCTCACGGGCTCCGCGACCCTCCCTGGGCCTCTCAACCCCGCCGGCGGCGGACTCAGCCCTTCCTGCTCCCACCCGGGGTGAACCGCCCCAGGCCGCTCGAGCCCTCCGCCCTCCGGTTCTTCTCCCCACCCAGTACCTACCCCTACGTTCCTCCCCTGTTCCCCCTCTTCCCCTTGCTGGTCCCTCTGGCCTCTTTTATGCTCCCCTTGGGCGGTTCCCCCCGCCTTCCGGGTTCCCGGCGGCCATTTTGCTCATCGCGCCGGTGACGTCAGCCGACGTCATCACTGGGCGCTGCAGCACGCCATCTTCCCCGCCCTCGGACCGGCCGTCCGTAGTCTTCCCCGGCCCCTGCCTGCCTCTAGTCCAGCCTGAGCGGGGGTTCTCCGGGGCTGCCGCCACAGACCCGGTGATCCTAATATCCCCGGGCGGTCCTTCCGCCCGCGGCTGGTGGCGGGGTTGCTCCACCCCGTCACACTATGGGTATAGAATTCTTAGCATACATGTTATCTTCCTCTTGATTAGCAATACAGACAATGCAGTACCATCCATTGCTGACCTAGGGGTTTTATGCAAAATAGTGTTTTTATAGAAATAATAATGATAAAGTACAAGTTATTCTGCATTACTGACCGCAAGATTATCATGCATAGCTGAGTATTTTGCCTCTTTGTGTCAATGAGGTGAGTCACCAAAGGCACATGTTCTTATGGCTGGTCATGTCATAATAAGGTCTCCTCATTAGATGCCTTCTCTAGAATGACAGTCACTTTAGCCCTGAAGTGTCTGATGTGCTCATAATTTGGCCATCCTACACATATGGTCTTATGACTGTCACCTAGAGATTTTATATTGTGTCTTCATCCCAGCTACATGCTTAAGTCCTTTCCATCCCTTTTCTGCAGGGGCTTTCCCACCACCTTTGTCCATTGGGGAACCCAAACTTTCCCTGTAATCCACATCCTAACCCAGGCACCTGGATTGTGATAAATAACGATGATCTTCCTGTTTGTATCTGCTGCTTCCCACTGAAGCTTTCCATCAGCCCCCTCCTGGGTGCAGGCCTCCACAGATATCAAAAGAAAAAAACCCTATAGCTCTGGGTACAGAGGACATATGAGTTCCTTGCCAGGCCTGCATGCCCCTAGGAAGACTCAGGTTTAACTGTGTCTTGTTATATTTCAGCTCTGGCCAGGCCTTTTTTTTTTTTTTTTTTTTTTTTAAGTCAATTCTTGGTTAGGTTCTAGTCAGGCTTTACTTCAAGAGATCGTCTCCTTTTCCTAGTCGTGGAATCAGAGATTACTAGAACTGAAAGGAACATTGAGAGGTCATCGAGTCCAGTTCCCTGCCCTAACGGCAAGACTGTCAAATGCCTTGCTAAAGTCTAGGTATACCATGTCCTCCGCTTCTCCTTTATCCACAAGACTCACTATCCTATCAAATAAATCTATCAGATTGGTTTGACATGATTTGTTTTTTACAAATCTATGCTGGCTGTTACCTATCACTTTCTTGTCTTCCAATACCTGCCAAACTGAGCATTTCCCCTTTTAAGCCCTTCCAGGCTTGGCACATCTTGCAAGTGAAGCAGGATGGGGCTAATTGCATCCACAGGTTCTCATTAACCACTTTCCACATTACATGAATTTGTACTCTCTGTCACAGTAAATCAAAAATTGAGCTGAAATTTGCAGTGTAAATAGTATTATGAGTAGTGACATGAAATAAGGCCCAGATCCTGCAAATTTTTACTCATGTGAGTACTATTAATAAGACTCTTCATGGGAGTCAGAATTTACCCATTCTGACTCACTGCTCTTTATATCCATGTCCCCAGACCAGGAAAGAAATTAAGCATGTGATGACATAAGACGTCCCATTGAAATCAGTGGGGCCTCCTTATACACTTATGTGCTTTGCTGGATTGAGGGCGGAGGGCTGTTATTTGGAAAGTAAAGGTTTGTGTTAAATTCAGCTTCTCAGGTTAATTGTTAATGCTGTTAACTCTTATTGTAAATGCTGTAAGGATTAACTAACCCTTTTATATATATAAAAAAGGATACACAAAGTTCACTATTGGAAAAATGTAGAACAACACATTCTACAAAAAAGTTGAAAAGTAATTCTACAGTTTTTTCCTCATTATTTTTATTACATTTCCTAGACTTCATCTTGCATTTAAAACCATAGTACCAAGGCTATTTAATAGCAACCCGCTCATTGCAGTCCCCCCAAAAGCAGGATAAAACTACTATGATAGAAATATATCTGAATCTTTTCTTTTATATCCATGTAGATGTTAATGTACAGTAAAGCTTTCTTTGGGCTG